GAATTATTTGACAAATGCATTGTTCCAATTACTTCTTTGATAAGAAAAGTTCATTTGATATGATTTAATAATTTTATAATTATTTAAAATATTTACTTAAAATTTCTGTTTTTTTTTCCCTTATTTATCTAATTGTTGTAAAAGTTAACGGTAATTATTAAGGAAATAGTTCATCTAGATGAGTACCAGGCAATGAGGTTTCAGATATCTAACCTATTTTTCAGAAAATTATTCCTTTTTTAAAAAAAGTTATTTATCTAATTTTACTTATTATTATAATTTTTTAATTTACCATAGGGCAATGCACTCACTAGAGAAAGACAGAGAGAGAAAGGGAGGAAAAGTGAGAAAGGGCGTCACCAGGTTCAGGACTCAAACTACAGTCAGCCATGTGGGAGTCCAGCACCTTAACCACCAGGCCAACTGCTGGCCCCGCAGAGGACTATTTTAAAGGTATAGAAAGAGTCTTCTGATTTAGCTTTCATTCCATAAAATGTTAATCATCATCACTTACCTTATACATGAGGCAGGCTAGTAAGAACATACCTTTTGTGCCTTGACCTTCCGAAATATTTCCAATAATAAACCATCTACTAGTTACACTTTCATAAAGCAGTTAGAAAAGACAGTTAACATTCATAATTAGAAAACTACTCCATTAAAATTTATTTAATTTGTTGGTTTACCTATTATCTCAATATTTGAAGACAACGTAGAGCCTAATGCTGTGCAAATAATGAAGGTATATAGGCATCTGATATCCAAACACATGAAAGCCATTTCTCCAAGACTTAATACCTTGAAATCTCCTCTCTGAGAAAGAAAAATGTAACATTTTCACTTTATCTTACATCAAATAATCAAATGATTCCATAAAATTAAAAATATTTTCAGGAGTTTTCTGTCAAGACTTAATACCTTGAAATCTCCTCTCTGAGAAAGAAAAATGTAACATTTTCACTTTATCTTACATCAAATAATCAAATGATTCCATAAAATTAAAAATATTTTCAGGAGTTTTCTGTGTGCTTTCTACCAAAATTTGGGGAAAATGTACTCCCTTGGACCACAGAAATGGAAATAATCAAATTTGAAATCATAGAATTAAAAATGGAGAATTCTGGGGCCAGCAGGTGGCATGTTGGTTAAAGGCACCGGACTCCCGGGGTGCAGCAAGTGGCCTGGTAATTAAGGGTGCTGAACTCCCGCATGGCTGATGGTGGTCCAAGTCCTGGACCTGGTGGCTTGCTTTCTCCCTTTCCCTCTCTCTCTCTCTCTCTGGTCAAATTAAAAAATAATAATAAGAAGAAATGGAATTAAATACATAATTCTTTTAAAATTACTTTTTAAAAGGAATTATTTTATTTAACTTTATTAATTATTATTATTATTGTTATTATTTTCCAGTTTGATCAGAGAGATAGAGAGAGGGAAAGTGAGAAAGCAAGCTGTCAGATTCAGGACTCAAACCTCAGTCAGACATGTGGGAGTTCAGCACCCTTAACCACCACACCCCCTGCTGGCCCTAGATAAAATAATTCTTTTGAATAAATAAATAAATAAAAATTAAAAAGGAGAATTCTGGGACCAGCAGATGGCATAATGGTTATGTTGCTGGATTCCCATATAGTTGACTACAGTTCAAGTTCCAGATCCAGTGGCTTAAAACTCACATGAGGCGCATGTGCGTGCGTGCCCAAAATCCTGAGAGGAGAATGGAGAAGAGACTGAGGCATGGTCATCCCCCCTGGGAGATGATTTCTAGCTTTCTGTCTCTGTCTCTCTGGCAAACACATTCACCCCATAGCAAAAATCTCTCAAAAAAAAGGGGACAATTCTGGTCTTATTTAATAAGAGTAAAAATGAAAATAAAAGTAAAATGAATAAAAGTAAAAATAAAGTTAAACAAACAAACCAACCTGTAACCCCCACACACGTTTCTGTATGCTATGACCAGGATTCAATGACCTGCGGTAGGCCACAGTCTGTACACTCAGACTCCCCCAGGTGTACTTATTGGTGCATAAAGGGAATTATGACATATTAGTCTCCATAGCAATCCTCTCCCATAGCAACAAAGAAAACACAGTGACATATAAATACTCTTTTCTTAGAAAAAATGATATTTAAAAAGTTAAATGACTACTAAAAAACCTGAGACCCTACACTAAAGCCAAGTTCAGAATTTTAAATCATCATCTTTTGTTCCCATACTTGTCTCTCTTTTGCCATTGTTTTCTTTATCAGTAAATTATATCATCACCCCCCCAGATGCCCAAACTAGAAGCCTGGACATTTTCCTCAACTCCTCCCTCTGCCATAAAATCTCTCCAATATCACTATCACAACTTGAAGATCTTTAAAAAAAAAAAAGTTTATATATTTGTTTCTTTTGTGAGAGAGATATTGAGAGAGAGAGACAGGCACCCTTAACACGGTCTTTAAAATACAATCAACTTCCCCTCCCCTTTTTAAAAACTATTTATTTCATTGCATTTGTTATTATTATTATTTAATTTGACCAGATTGAGGAGAGAGAGAGAGAAAGGGAAGGCAAGGAAGCAAACCACCAGGTCTGGAACTCGAACCGCAGTGCACCAGGTGGAAGTCCAGCACCCCAACTGCCACGCCACCTGGTAGCCTCTCACCCTCCCCTTAACCTTGCCCCAACCACAATTATGGGCATGCCAAGTGTGGTGAGGTAGACCTGTGCTACAAACCTGGGACCTTCCCACATGTCCTCCAGCAATGCACATCAGTGTCCCTACTGCCTGTGCACTGTTACCAAGGCTAAGCCCTTAATAGAGGATCTTACCAACAACCCAGTCTCTCCTGCCTCCCATCCATTTTCTACACCACAGACAGCAAGAATGACCTTTCTAAAGAGCAAATCTGAATCTATTATCTCTTAAAACTATAATAGCATTTCACTGCCATAGAATACAATTCAATCATCTTTTCATATGTGAGGAATATAGCTTTATGATCTTAAATTTAAAGGATTTATGCCTACACCTCACTACTTAATCCAAAAATGCTCTACTTTTAAAGAATAATACTACTCTCAATTCCATACACTTGTCTTTGAGTCTATATTCCTGGAACCGACAATTTCACAGAATATTAACAATTAAAAGTCACTTATCCCAGCATTCAGAGACTACCTTTCTTTTCTCCTGAATAGATTAATCCAATAGGGCATATTTTCTCTTCCCACTCCACCCTCTTCATCCTACCTGGTCCGTCTGTAATGTTCTAATGTTGGTAAGCTTCAATTATTCTGCAGGAGAATCTTGGGCTCAAACTGTCAGAGCCAGCATGTATATTGGAAGCAATGTTGGTCAAATTCTCTGCTATCGGGAAGTAAAACTCAGACGGGCCCAGGATTACACAGCAAGTTAGTAACAGAGCTGGAAAGAGGACAGAGATTCGTGATTTCCTGTCCCATGTGCTCCTACCCTACTGTGCTGGGTCCCACACACTTGACTGGGGATTATGAAAGCTTTTCCTCTGAGATCCCAGCATTTAAGTCTTCCATCAATTAGCTAACCATGATGAATCAACATGATGTGTTATGTTTTGTTTTTTAATTCTATGCCTCATACAATCATAAGAGAATTCCAGTTTTCTTCCTAAAGTCCAAAAATATCTCTCTCCCTAAATTCCTTCCTCCTCACTCACCAGCCCACAGCTACCCATTAGGACATCAGTAAGTATTAGGTAGATGTAGCTACCAGAACATTACAGATCTTTTCACAGAGCTTCTCTTGTAGATTAACACGAACACACACACACTAGTTAGTATTGAACCCAAAGTGAAAAGGCTGACAGAGAAATCCTGCATTACCTTTAAGAGCAAAGACAATCAGGTTTCCCTTAAAGTCCTCTCAAAGAAATCCCAACGAAGTTCTCTACCCAATCAATTTGTCCTTAAAAATTATATACCCCTGGGGACTAGCAGATGGCCTAATAGTTTCATTGCTGGACTCCTACATAGTTGACCATGGTTCATGTCCCAGACCCGGCAGCTTAAAATTCATGCCTGGCATGTGTGTATGCATACCCCAAATCCCAAAATCCCAAGAGGAGAATGGAGGAGAAGGGATCGTGGTGTGGCCATCCCTCCTGAGGGATGATTTCTCACTTTCTGTCTCTCTGGGGAGCTCACATGCCCTATAGCAAAAATCTCTTCAGTAAACAAAAAAATAAGCATTATATACCCCTCTGTCATGTACAACATAAACACTAAGTAAAGAGTGAAAATCACTTGCTTCAGGACCAACGGGTAGCATGGTGGTTAAGGCGTTGGACTCCCACATGGCAGACCACAGTTCTAGTCTCAGACCTGGTGGCTTGCTTTCTCACTTTCCCTTTCTCTCTGTGTGTCTCTTTGGTCAAATTTAAAAAGAATAATAATAACAAATGGGACGAAATCATTATTTTTAAGAAACATTTGCTTTCGTTCTATTTATAGGCTGCTGAAATCTGACTCAGGGTATCAAATAGCATTTCCTGGATCTGCCCAACACATTTAAGCAAAGGTAGGAAATAGAATAACTGGCTTAGAGTCATTTATGAATAGATCCACAAAAGGAGGTCCTAAATTACACTTAGGGTCCACCCTAGATTTTCTCACTCAGATGAAGAAGAAAGGTAATACTTTCCTCGGCTCTGTGTTATAAGATTGCCACTAGTGCAACGAAGCGTTTTATATACTATATGGTTACCAAAAAGACCTGAGGTTGAAAATCTGAAGACAAAGGGAAGACGAGGAAAGAAAATGCATGCGTACAAGATTTGAAAAAAAGTTTCTGATATGTTCCACACTCCCAGATCACGATTAACAACCATTCATCTGGGTTCAAATACTCATTTTTATTAAAATAAGGAAATAGCCAGAGAGGAAGGAAGGTTCCGTTGTCTAAGCTCACACAACGCATTGGTGGCAGAACTGGGAATAAAAACCAGGTCTCTTGAATTCTTTCTACTAAGTGTCAAATAAATTTTATTTTCGTAAGGAGTCTATCCTGCCTCTATTTTACCAGAAGTCTCCTCCTCTTTCCAACTTTTCTCAATCTACTGTCACCACCCAAACCATCATCAACGCAACCACACAGTTTGATCACCATGACATCTCTGGCAGAGCCATAATTTAGTAAACATTAATTGAGCACCACTTTTTTTTTCCCCTCTGGTCAGATGCTATTCCAGCTAAATCTTGCATAAGCTGCAAGTGGCAACAGTTCTAGTATCTGTAATACCTCCTACTATCTATTCAGCGTCCACAGCACTCCAAGCATTGCTCAGTGCTAAACACTTAACATACAACACAACCCTTGCTGTCATCTTTAGACTATGCACTATTTTCAGTTCCATTTTAAAGACTAGAAGCTGAGATATAAACAAGGTAAATGACTTCCCTCAAATCATAGTGATCATAAATGGTGACGCTTGGGACCAGCAAATAGCATAATGGTTAAGTTCCTGGACTCCCACGTAGTCGACCGCAGTTCGAGTCCTAGATCCAGTGGCTTGAAACTTAACACAGGGCATGCACATGTGCGTGCCCAAAATCCTAAGAGGAGAATGGAGGAGAAGGAATTGCGGTTCGGCCATCCCCCTGGGGCATGATTTCTCGCTTTCTGTCTCTCTGCCAAGTGCATGCACTGTATAGCAAGCATCTCTCTAAAAATAAATAAGTACAAGATAAGTTTTTTTTAAATGGTGAAGCTTGGACTTGAATCTAATCTAGTACCAGAGCCTTTGATGACATTCACTACAGTACACATTTTCTGTACCTAAGATCGATGTGGAGGGCAGTTTCTATGCTACCTACTTGGCTTCACAGGACACTGCTGCTGAGGCAGTTTCACAGAGTATGTCCTTTGGAATGGCAAGCCTAAAGCGATTGTTTTCTTCTTTGCAGCCTCACTTCCCCAGCTCTCCCCTCACTCTAAGAGTTGATTGGATAATCCCTTATTTCTGGAGAAACTCCAGGTACTTACCATAACATGGTTTCTCAAGAAATGCATTATCAGGAACCAGCAGTTAGCATAATGGCTGTGTCGCTGGACTCCCACATAGTTGACCGCGGTTCACGTCCCGGACCCGGTGGCTTAAAACTCACACCGGGCGCGTGTGCGTGTGTACCCAAGATCCCGAGAGGAGAATGGAGGAGAAGGGATTGCGACGTGACCATCCCCTCTGGGGGGTGATTTCTCGCTTTCTGTCTCTCTGTCTCTCTCTGTTTGTCTGGCGAGCGTACGCATCCTATAGCAAAAACCTCTCAAAAACAAACAAAAAGCAATGCATTATCACTGGCAGTTATCAGAGGCCTTCTCTTCCTCTCCTCTCCATTTTAAAAACATTCATTAGAATCTCGACTACTCTCCTTCCTGCCTGATTGTCAAGCACACCGAAAAAATGTAGATGGGGTGCTTGAAACAGCCAAGGGCCAGGACAGAGATTTCACAAGTTACAAAGAGGGGAAGATACAGGTCAGGCTAAAAGGCATCTATAGCAATTTTAGAATTACAGCAAGGTGGGACCAACAGTTAGTGTAATGGCTATGTCGCTGGACTACCACGTAGTTGACCACTGTGTCCTGGACCGGGTGACTTAAAACTCCCGCCTGGTGTGTGTGCGTGCGTGCCAAAGATCCCGAGAGGAGAATGGAGGAGAAGGGATTGCGGCATGGCCATCCCCCCTGGGGGGTGATTTCTCGCTTTCTGTCTCTCTGTCTCTCTCTGGCGAGCACATGTGCCCTATAACAAAAACCTCAAACAAACAAACAAACAAACAAACAAACAAACAAAGAATTACAGCAAGGTATTGTAAAAGCTGACAAGACTGGGACCAGCAGGTAGCATGGTAGTTGAGCTGCTGGTCTCCCACATAGCTAAACACGGTTCAAGTCCCGGACCTGGTAACTCACTCTCTCACTTTCCCTCTCTCATTCTATCTCTAGTGAGAGCATGTCACCTATACCAAATTTGAAAATAATAATAATTAATAAAATTAAATAAATGATTCTTAAAAAAAAAAGTTGACAGGACTAAGTACTTTTCAGGGTAAAGTAACAGAATATTGCTGAGCAGCTTGTTCTAATAAAAGCCACCGTGGTATAGGTATAACTCAGGTTTCACTTCCACCTCAACCACTGTGTTTATCATCAAATGATACCTCAGTGAAATGGAGGTAATGATACAAGCCTGGCGGGAGTGTCTGGAAGACTAATGAAATAATGTACATGAAAGTGTCAAAAGAAGAGTAAATTGTTTTATAGAGTTGAGAGGGATTTGTTTCTGAGGACTTCACCACTAAGCAAAATTTGACAGTAACCTTGCCTCGACCCACACATTTGCCCTTACTAAGTCAGTAAATATAGACTTGTCCAGAACTGATAAGGAAGCACTTATCTCCAATGTGCACCAACCTTATTCATCCATGATGCTGCCTTTACTGATCTTTGTCTCCATAACAATAATTTCTTGCATATATTTAGCATTTTATAACTTCCAAAGAATTTATTGAATTCTTTTTACCGAATTTGGATGCGCATAAGGTTGGTAGTGTATATTTACAATAAAACAAACGGTAAAACTAGGGCTTAGAGAAGTGATTCGGAAGAGAAAGTATTACAGCATGGTCATCATCCCTGGGAAGGAGTCCTTTCTCTCTCTCTCTCTCTCTCTCTCTCTCTCTCTCTTCCTCCCTCCGCCCCCCACATAGCTGGTACAACCTGTACAAAAAGGAAAGGAAAAAGAAGAAAGAGAAATGTTGTAGAGCTAATACCGCAAAATATGATTTTTAGACACATTGCTTCTCTGTGTTGACAAAAACAAAAAACATAAAAAGGTTTTTCCATAGCATCTGACATGTCCACAGGTTTTGGATTTATTTGATTGTAAAGGCACTGACCAAGTTGCAAAAACTAATAATTATGTATTTAAAAATAATAAATGAAATTTTGCAATATTATTAATGTGGTTTCTAAAAAAAAAAATCCACATTAAAAAAAAAATGTTCAGGGACCAGCAGTTGGTGTGATGGCTATGTTGCCGGACTCCCATATAGTCGACCACTGTTCAAGTCCCAGACCTGGTGGCTTAAACTCACACCAGGCACATGTGCATACATGCCCAAGATCCCCAGAGGAGAATGGAGAAGGGATTGCGAAGTGGTCATCTCCCCCCCGGGGGGGGATTTCTCACTTTCTGTCTCTCTGTCTCTGTCTTTCTGGCAAGTGCACGTGCCCTATAACAAAAAAACCTCTCCCAAAAAAAAGAAAAAAGAAAGTTCATTGTGTTGCCTTTGGGTAAAAGAAAAAGAAAATCAGTGTTATAAAATTTGATAAGGTGGTTGGGTCTCACATGATCGACAGCACAGTTCGAGTCCCTAACCCAGCAGCTTGACAAAAACACTTCAGGAGAGTATGCATGGTTGCCCAAAATCCGGAGAGCAGAGTGGAGGAAAAGGGATTGCAGCATGGTCATCATCCTGGGGGTTGGGGGGTGGAAAGTGCTTTCTTACTCTCCCCCTCTCTCTCTTCCTCTCTGCTTCTCTCCAGGAAGAGTGCCCTATAGTAAATTTTAAAAAAGAATTATTATACTTTCCACTCACATTGTCTAAGCTAACTATATGAAAATACTGACCAGGAGTCAGCACGTGGCATTGAGTTTGAGGTGTTGGACTCCCCCCATGGCTGACCACAGTTTAAGGTCTGAACCTGGCAGTTTGCTCTCTCACTTTCTCTCTCGTTCTCCTTCTTACTCTCTCACGAAATGAAAAAAATAATAACAATAAATAAAATAAAGTAAATAATTCTTTTAAAAAAATGTGACCAAGGTGTTTAGAATAAGGGTTGGGGAAAAAAAAAAAAAGAAAATGGAAAAATAGAGAAGAAATAGAACTTCAGGAAAAAAAGCTGGAAAAGTAGTATGATTACAGATTTAAATACTATGGGGGAAATGACAAGTTGATATGCTCTTTTTATTTTTTTTAAGAGAGATTTTGACTATAGGGTTCATGCGCTCACCAGAGAGACAGAAAGTGAGAATCAATCAGCACCCAGGGTGATGGCCATGCTGCAGTCCCTTCTCCATTTTTCTCTCAGGATTTTGGGCATGCATGCACACATGCCTGGTGTGAGTTTAAAGCCACCGGATCCAGGACTCAAACTGAGGTCGGCCATATGGGAGTCGAACGACATAACCATTATGCCATTTGCTGGTCCCCAAATTGATATGTCCTTACATAAGAAGACATGGACTAGACCTGGCCTATAGCATGAGCTTTGCCAAGCGACCTTGGAAAGTAGTAATTATAGGGACTACAATTCATTTGGCCCTTACTAGACAGACATCAAACTGTGTGCTAGATCCTTGACGTAGATTAGCTCATTTAAGTCTGATATGTTAATGGCTACTACTATTATTATCTCAATATTATAAATGACACATGTGAGGCTCAGAAACGTTGAGTACATCTCTCAAGATCATACAACTTAAGCAAAAAAAAATGTCTTTATCTGATGCTAAAGATAGCATTCTTTTGAACATATAGTGCTGGTTTTCAACTAATCTCATTCTGTGAAGCTCAGCGTCTTCTTATACCACTTATCCCTAGCATTTTATTCTCAATTTCATCAGTTAATCTGCTGTGTATCTGTCTATCCATGGTTCCAGGATGTGACTCAAGAGTGCTGGCTTCCTACAAAACTAATCTTGTTTCAAGGAGACCATCCAACATGTATAAATGCCTATTCATAGCTTCTGAAGTTTGGCCATGACTCAGCACTATGTCAGAACCTCCTGAACCTGGGAGATCTTAAGGTCTGACATGCTGAAATCAATACATGGCCCACTAATAGTATAACCTGGTGGTGAGTCTACCCTAACCCTAACCCTAACCCTAATCCTAAACCCTAACCCTAACCCTAATCTAATTTAGATAATAACCAGTAAATAATGTGCCCGCAGGAGAGTAGCTTTATGAAAAATGCTAAAGATGACTTGGTGTACTTTCAGGCACAAAAGGAATTTGAAGCAGACAGATTCATCATGTTCGTCACCAGAAAAGAGATGCAAGTCATTTCTTACAAAAATTCATAGGAATTTAGGCACATGATGAATAATGAAAATCACTGCATGCAAATGAAATACAAGTAGGATATTTTTAACAAATCTTTTTACCATCCATTGATAGCTGAAATGGTTGATTGCATTTGCACCCCTGCTGAGATTATATACTAACATTATTGACTGTTATAAAATGTTTCATAAGTCTTGTAAAAACTGAAGGAGTAATCATATTCAATAATTCTATTCTACAGAATGTGCAGGTTTTCTGCAGGGCATCCCGAGTTCATCCAGATGAGTGTCCCGAAGCACTATCAGAGCTAGAGCACTTCCTTTTGACCTACTGTAGCAACATCTAGATTTATATTATTGATTCATAAAGCAGTTTATACATTTCAGAATTTTTCTCTAATCTGAACAGATCAAATAAAGCATTACTAGTTTATAATTCCATTCAATAAACCACCAAGAGGCCCTTAAACAATTACGTATTAAAGCAATTTTGTTTACAACCTTAAGAAAAAAATACCCTTCAGTCATCAGTTAGGAAATATTTCCTAAAATAAGTCAAATTGATATGAAGGTTTTTCAAGTTCATGAGAAATGCATACTATGAAAAAACTGAGCATGGATCGATTAAAAAAAAATTGCTCCTAAATAAACTTGTGCTCTTATTCCATTTTTCTATGAACTTTTGAAGTCCCTGCATATTATTCAGTATATGCCTTACCTTCCATTCACATGAAGCCATAGCTGAAGAGCAATGCACTGTCTTGAAAGGCAGCACTGCTCTGGAACCAGCAAAACAATCCTTTTTGTTTAGCACCCTTCTCTCCACACTCCCAGATGTTCCCAAATACTTGTTTGCAATCAGACAGTGTGTACTCAAAACATTCACATCATGTAACTACTTCAAAAGTAAGTAATAGGGTGTACTCCGCCCACTAAGCCCTCAGTGAAAACAGAATACAAAACGTACAAAAGCAGATTTTATAGCCCTTCGAAGTTATTCTACCAGTATGTCTTTTTTTTTTTTCTATTTCTTTTTTTTTTCTTTTGTAGAGATTTTTGCTGTAAGGCACAAGCACTAGCCAAAGAGACAGAGAGATGGAGAGAGAGAAAGTGAGAAATCACCCTTGGGGAAGATGGCCACGCTGCAATCCTTCTCCATTTTCCTCTCAAGATTTTGGCATGCACTCCCACACACCCAGCATGATTTTCAAACCTCCAGGTGCAAGACTTGAACCGTGATTGACCATGTAGGAGTCCAACACCTTAACCACTACTCCACCTGCTGGCCAGAGTGTGCACTTTCTTGTCCATAATGTACATATAGACTGTAAATGCATGGAAACCTGGTGTTATACACAGACACACACACACACATACACACACACACACATACATATATACACACGATAAACTGCTATCAGTTGTGGAAAAAATGCTAACAAGACAAATATTCATATCATATATTCATTATTCAGCAATTATATGGGGGAGCCTACTACATGCCAGGCACTGTAATAGGTACTGGGGATACAGCAGTAAACAAGATAAAGTATACCTACCTGCATTTCTGATATGGGAATAGAAAATAAATATATCAGATAGTTCTAAGTTGGGGGCCAAAAGGTGGTGTGGTGATTAAGGTGCTGAACTCCCACACAGCTAACTGCAGTTCAAGTCCCAGACGTGGCAAAGTGCTTTCTCACGTTCCCTCTCCCCTCATCCTCTCTTTCTCTGGTTAAATTTTAAAAGTAATAGTAACAGGGGCCAGCAGGTGGTGTGGTGGTTAAGGGCACTGGACTCTCACATGGCCGACAGCAGTGCCAGTCCCAGACCTGTAGGCTTGCTTTCTCACTGTCTCTCTCTCTCTCTTTCTCTCGTCAAATTAAAATAAATAAAGTTTATTTACATATTTATTTATTTATTTTTAAATTTTGACCAGAGAGGGACAGAGTCAGAGAGGGGGGCAGGTGGGGAGAGTGAGAAAGCAAGCTGCCAGGTTCAAAACTTGAACCTTGGTCAGCCAGGTGGGAGTTCAGTGCTCTTTAACCACTACGCCACCTGCCGGTCCCAATAAAATGATT